TACTTGCAGCAGTAAACCAAGCGGCGGGTGAATATGCTACACAGAATCCTCCCAAGTCATTGATATTGTAAGGCAGCTCCAGACAGCCAACAATGTTATGAAGACATGACGAGGCGAGAGAAGAAGACATCGGGGTGGAAAGCAAGCATAGTAAAGAAGATAAGCTTGCTGAATTTCCACAAATCCCTCATAGAACGGATTTTGGACGATGAAAAACTTGGAGGTAAAGACTGAAAAGAAGTGTATGAGGAAGATGAATCTCATACTTGCTCTTAAACGTGACTTTCATGAAGCGTTAAGCATACTGATAGACCATGTGAGAGTTTACGAAAGCAAAATTAAAAGTTATGAGACCCGACATGCATTCAAAATACAAAACGCCAGATTCGAGCTATTCAGAAGACAGTTTTATAGAAGTCTAACCATAGAACAGTTCGTGAGCCATAATGTAACTGAGGAAATCAGGGATTTTCGGCGTACGATATGGAACTGCAGAATGGGGAAGTATGATGATATCCAGCACAACGAATATCTGGAAGAATTCGTTTCAGATGATGAAGTGCATCATACTTTCCCATCTGATGCCGAATTTGGGAGATACTCTACTAAATAGTAGACTATGGCCCAATTGGAAAGCGACAGGGCCTAATGGAGTTTATAACTTCTTTATCAAGTGCACCTCCTTGCATCCAGACCTGTACAACATAGTAAGAAGGATTTGTCTAGACGGGGAGAAACAGGATCCGTGGTTCTATAAAGGTACTACCTTTTCGAAATTTGAATCGAAAAGGTGTCCCAAGTAAATGCAGTGACTTCAGGACAATAACTTGTATGTCGAACCTTTACAAGTTAACAACGAAATGTGTGGAACACGTCATGTAGTTGGATGTAGCCATGAGGAAGCTGCTTGCAGACAATCAATTAGGAACTGTTACCCAGGTTCAAGATGCAAAGGAACAAGCAATGTTGAACCTGGCCGTTTGCAAAGAGCACGGGAACCAGCTTTACAC